ACAGGAGTAATTTGGGAATTAGCAGAGTGATATATACTTCTGACTATCCTCCAGAGTGTTAATCAAGTCTCCTATTTTAGCCACATTGATGCGGTTCTAGATAGTTTTATCATTTACTTATCCTGTATTCATGCAATTAATATTCATCAAATATTCACAGTTTTTACTATGAATTCAATGCTGAGCTTGGCACCAAAGATACAATGATGGACAAAAGTAGATGAAGTTGTTCTCTTCCTTCATAGATCTTATAGGTTAGTAGAGGAAATAAATATTAAAAAGTAATTTAGAAATAAATATATTAATAAAGGTAATTTGTGGTTCCATGTGTACAGGCATGGGAGCCAAATTGACCTCAGTCCAAATTATACATCTTCCTTTTCCTTGTTTTATCATAATGGGCAAGACATTGAAACTCACTGATCATTAGTTTCCTCATCGCTGAAATAATGCCAACCATGTATGATTGTTGCATAGATTGGAAATTACCATGAAAGTTGCCTAATAATAATGACATAGAATACACTGTCAATTTGCCCCTTTAGAGGACAGGGTATATCTTCCCCACCACTCCTCCTCTACATCTCTAATATCCTCCTCAACCTCTGACTCTACCAGAATCCAGGAAGCACACACTTTTTATATGATTTGAATTTAGTTGATTAAAGTCATTGTCTGCTTAGTAACTGAGGAAAGACAAAGTAGAATTGCTTTCAATTATTATCTATTCAGTGTATACCACATGTTTTGCTGTTGGCTGTTAATTTTATCTCACTTAAAAATTACAACAATCTTTGAAGTAGATATTATTTTAATCTCCAACTTACAATGAGGAATTTGAATCTCAGATGTATAAAATTATTTGCTTAGGTTATATCAGCTGAATCTGAATATTCTCTACAAAGCTGTATTGGAAAAACTCAGTTTTCCTCCTGTGTCTTTCTTTCCTGTGTGTCTTCTTCACTGTTATTGTACTACTACACTAGGAATACTTTACTTCAGATACTACTGATCACCAAATGTGTGGTGGTTTCCCCCAACCAAGCAATACTATGACACCAGTCCTGTGTCCTATAATTTAACTTAATTTAATTCAATCATGACACTATCTACTTGGAGACAGTAGCAGACTAGCAGACCCCACAAGTTAAGAACTCAGCCCCAAAAGACTGTTTCCATTCTACTCTAGATGCCAATCACAACTCATAGATTCCCAGACCACCCATACCTTTTGTCTGATTTGGATACAAATTGAAGATTCCCACAACCCCCTCCTCAGGTTCAATTGATTTTCTAGAGCAGCTCACATAACTCAGAGAAACACTTACATTTTTATATTTATTAAAAGATATGATAAAGGATGCAGATGAACAGATAGATGAAAAAATACATAGGGTGAGGTATGGGAAATTCCCAAGAGCAGGAGCTTCTGTCCCCCTGGAGTTGAGTTGTGCCACCATCCCAGTGTGGATTTGTTTGCCAACCTGCAAGCTCTTAGAATGCCTTACTTTAGGGATTTGATGAAAGCTTCCTCACATAAGTATAGTTAATCATTAACTCCATTTTCAGCCCTTCTCCCTTTCCAAGAGAATGGAAAGTATGGCTGAAAATTACAAGCTTCTAATCATGGCTTGGTCTTCTGGTGACTTGCCCTCATCCAGGATCCACTCAGGAATCTATCCAGAGTCACTTCATTAGAACAAAAGACACTCTTATCACCCGGGAAATTACAGGGTTTCAGTATCTCTGTGCGAAGAATCAGGGGTATTCGCCAATATAAATTTTTCCTATTATCTCACAAAAACCAACACGATTTCCCTGCATCCCTCTGGTTTATTTGCTTAGTCTCTTTGCCAGTACTTTGTTGAGTTTTAGAAATAATAAGAAATAATTTAGAAATAAGTTGGGATTCTGCATCCTGAATTCTTCTTCCAATCCTTACTCCACATCTTTCTCTTGTGGTTACGTTAACACCCCCTGGATGTGCCAGAATTCTGCTACTACCTCTGTGCTCTGGCAAGAACTAAGGCAAATTAATGTTCTTCTAATTGAATGAATAGCTTTCTGGGAAATGGTGGCGATTCTGTTTAATAGATTTGCCTGAGTAAGAAAATAAAAAAAGAGATGTGATGAAAGACTTTTACCCTGTGAAATGCAATGAACATCAAGAAAGACTTAGCTGATGAGGCAATGTTTTTCCAATGTGGGGACAGAATAATCAACAATCAACAGTATAAAGGAAGAGGCAAGCAAGTATACCCCAGTGAAAGAGAAAAGGGATAATGAAAATGGACTTTGGTAACTTCATTTACAGTTTGATTTTTGCTATTTATTTGAGATGTAAGGTGAATAATCATACCTGCTTTTATATACTTAAGGGGAAAAAATTATAACGCTGGTTCCTATCGGCATATAAAACAATTGATATGAGAACAAATTAGATTGCATTTTTGATTTAAAAGATTTCTTATAAATTTTGAAGGATATCTGGCTTGCAATGAGTAGGTAGGATAAATAGCTTTTAAAATTTCTTAGAGACTCCAGATTTCTAAGATTCTTTAGAGTTCCTATGTGTGTGTATGTGTGTATGTTTGTGTATATCTATCTATCTATCTATCTATCTATCTATCTATCTATCTATCTATATCTATCTATCTATCATCTATCTATCATCTATCTATGTGTATATATAAAAATTCTCATGTAGGGAATTTACATAATTCATACACAGAAAGACTTTATTATTTGGTAGTCAATAAATCTTTATATAATTAATAAATATGTGAATGAGGAGGCAAACCATCTAAGCAGTCATAGCCTCAAATTCCTTCTCCAATGAAATGAGGCAGTCATCCATGATGGGTATTTTATTCTTTGGAGAAATTGAACAGAAGTGGTTCTGGCCATCAGACATGGGTAGCAGGAGTTATACACTGGACTGAACACAGGGAGGACAAGTTAAATCGAACATTCTAAATGGTGAAATTTCCCGGTCTTCTTCCCACACTCTGATCTCAGAGCGCTAGGAACCAGATACACAAATGTAGATTGGAGTTAATTGGATTTTATTCCAGAAAAAATAAAGAGCGTAGGAGAATAGATCTACATAAACTAACATTTTTTGCGGGGGTAATTCAATGAAAATGCTGGTTTACCCTACAGTCCAGTTAGGAAGTTAACAAAGTTTCCATTCAGATTTTTGTTGCATTGTTCTTAAACTTGAAAACATAGCTAAGAATAGCCAAATATTTGACAGAAGTATCAAGCATTCCAGACAGCAAAAAGAAACAACAAAGATAATGGGGACAATATGAGAACTGGAGAAAAAGAAAAATCACGGAATTTAAAAACAAATAAAAGCAAAATGAAATAAAACCAATAACAAAGATAAATTATACTGCCCCCACTACCACCAAAGAAAGAGAAAAGAATTGTACAAGAAAAACCCCCAAAACAAAAAAAAACCAAGATAAAGTGCAAAGTGGAGAACAACACAACATGGAAATCTGTGCTTGTGATCCTCAGGGATCGGGGTACAGAAAATGATGTACCTCTTCAAAAATTTCTAGAATATAACTAAATTTTTGTATTGAGCTACATCTATCTTCTCTCTCTAGAAAAATATTTATTGGTATGTAGGAACCTCATCAAAAAGCTGGTAATGTCCTTGAGGTCACTATGATAGACAATCTGAGAATTTCTAATTTCAGTTTATCTCCTGCCTTAATAATCTAGATAATTGGTCCAGTTTATACATTTTATTTTAACTGAAACATTAATTTGTTATCATTTTTAATTTTTAATAGTTTCTTGAACATTATCAGCAGCAGGTCACTGTTAAGTAAGTATATTGCACACTGGTAAATAATTGCATATACTTGCTCAACTTTCTTGTACAAATCTATAAATACATATTACTTAAGAAATAGAATGATTTATTTTAGACATATTAAGCATAGATGAGTAACTGTGTTCCTTTTGGGTGGTTTTGTGGAATATATATTTTAATGTTCTGTTTCAGTACTTGTTTTAGATTGTTTAAATGTATAATCAATTGCCTCTGAGCTTCAGTTATCACCCAAACATTTTGCTTGATTCCAAGCATGCTTTTTTCAAAAATTTCGAACAAAGGTCACAATGTACTCTATGTATTTATTTCCACAACTGTTGCCAGGAAACTCCTCCAGGATGGAGACATTGTTTTATTCCACATTCTCAGTTTCTAAGGTAGAAGTTTTATTTTTGGAAGTAATTAAACAGAAGTAGTTCTGACCATCAGTGTCACTCTTAGACACTATATACTCATGGAGTGTAGAAAACCAAACAGTGATAAAAAATAACAGTAGAGTCAGTACATCCCACTGAGACTATAGATATAAAGAAGCACTAGGGATTTGTTGTTGTTGTTGTTGTTATTATTATTATTATTAGTTTTTAGGTCTGAGAGAATGAGAAAGAAGAATTGAGGTCTAAAACAAAGTAGAAATTCTGTGATAGATGAAGTGAATCTTAATCAGTGGGGGGAAGTGCAATTTCGGAGGAATTGGGGTTGCATATATGAGATTCTAATATTTAAAACTGTTCAGATTTTCATAGTTATCTTAAATAAAATTAGGGGCAAAAAAGTAAAATTAGGGGCAAGAAGTAAAGTACGTGTCTTCTTTTCTGGTGTTGCACATTATGTATAGTTGACCTTCTTGTAGAATTATGGAAGAGGTGTCAAAAAGAATTTCTTCCCTCCATGCTATAGTTTCCTGTTCTTTGGATGGTTTGTCAAAATTATCCTTCTTAACAAAGAGTGAGAAACCAGAACCCTATCATTTACTTTTATTTTCTTTATCCATTGTGTTTCTAAATTTTAAAATAGGCCAATAAAACCCAGTTATGACATAAAAATATATTTTTCACCTTTGGGGTTTTAGATCCCACAAAAAAAGAGGACAGTTATCACCCTCAGACACACATAAACAAACAACAACAGCAATAAGAAAAAACATTACCTTGAGCTATGTAAGGTGTGTTTTCCTCTTTCGGAGGGATATTTGTGGGTCGAGGTGCAGGAGCAGGAGGTCTGTTTATAATAAAAGATCGACCTCCAATTTTTTTCTTTGTACTCATATTGGCCAGTATCATGTCATATTCACCGTCATCAATCTCAGCAAAAGTGTACGGGTCTTCGTCCTCCTGCTCTTTTTCATCCTCTGTCCTTTCTTCTTCTCCTTTGGGTTCACCTCCTATTTCTTGTCTTGCACTGAAATCACACCAATTTTGACTTCTTTCTGTTTGGCCTTCCAACATTTTTCCTGTTTATGAAATATTTAGATGGTGGTTACTCTTCTATTATATGCAATATTATTGGTGTTCATTTGTCACTTGCTGAACTTCCCCCAAATAATTTATGTAATATACCATAAATTCTAAAAAGAGAAAAGTAAATCATGTAATTTACTAACATATATCCTCCTACAGTTGGTAACTATTAAATTTAAGAAAAAAAAGTTTGTTTTAGACATGTATTTCTTTCAAAACATAAATAAGTATATAAATATTTTTTATATAGTTTATGAATGATTTATTATCAGGAAACAGTTATGAAATGAAGCCTCAAATCCCAAATGCTTTGAAAATTTATGTTTTTCAAATATAAAACTCTTAGATTTTTTTTTTTTTTTAATTTGAAGTCATTTTACCTTTCATAGGGTTTGCACTCATTAATCTGTCTCAAATTCAAATCTCTGAAAATGGCGGGGGGCATAGTTAAAAGCACTATTACTTGGTTTCTTATAGGAAGTCTCACTCTATGACAAGTCAACACGAACCTCATTCTTAGTTAAAGAACACTACAAGTAAGGTTCCACATAAAAGGTGGCACAAGTAATCAATGGCTTGAAGATTAACTCATATGAAAATAATAAATAATCTTTTGTAGTTTTCATACTTTACATATTTTTATAAAAAATGTATTAAAATATTTTAGTAGCAGTTATTTAAAAGACAAAGATGTCATGTACTTTGGTTAATGAATAAGTTGAAAAGAATTTTAATGGCTCTCTGCTGGGCCAAGGAGAATTAAAAAAAAAAATTCCCTTTGACAAATGTTTTGCTTAAAGTATTAATAAAAACAATAAAATGAAAAGGATTTCAGTTACTGATCAAAATAAAATCATTGCTTTTCTATGCTGGTTTGAGAGATTCATGCACGTAAACTAAGGGAGAACTATTTTTTCTCTTAAGTGAGACTCTGACCAAAAAATTTTAGTATACTTATGGATATTTTAGTGGAAAACAGCAGAAACTAAGACAAGTCATAGAGCGGAATAAAAGGATATTATTATAAGAGGATTCAGCATTTGTTTGGCGTAGGCTTGTAAGGAGAGACCAAGATCATTTTCCAACAGTCTTAGATTTGATCGTTTCATTTAGTTTAACCCCAAAAGTATTCAGGCCTACACATCTAGAACTAACTTTAAAAACACCATGGCTTACCTTTTCCCCTATGAATAATATGGTATTGAGATTTTGACTTCATGACTTCTGTTTCACTGACAGCATCACAGGTGAAACCAGATTAAGTATGTGGGAAACAGTTTTACAGTGTTTTATTTTTAGTGGAATGTGTCAACTATCTTACTTTTATGAACCGATTTCCTGAGCTGTTATCTTTTTTTGTTTCTCCACCCACCTCCCTTCTCAACTCTTTCTAAAGTTGGGCTTGCACTAGAAGTAATACATTTTACTTTTTATTTTCCAGTGTATCAGATTATACTTTTCATGTCAGAGTGGGACTTGAGGTTTCTCAATTCAGGTTGTACATTAGAAAATGAAGATTAAATCACTCCTATTTTCAGTTTTTGAAATAATGAGGGCAAGAGTGTGTAACAAAGAGAAAAATCCTAAAAGTGAAGAAAACTTGTTCAGTGAAGTATTTGACACATTTTAATTATAGGCTTTATGGTCTTGAGTCTGAGTCAAAGAAGGATGATAGTGATGGTTGCCTTGTAATTTTGTTGCAACGATAAAAAGAGGCCATGTGTTCTTCATAAATTGAAAAGTGTTCTATAGCATATTACGGTTTTCTCCATAAATCCATCATGGAGAATTTGATGCATAGGGCATTGATGAGGAGACTTCTTTCTTTCAGTAATTTCAAGGCCTATGGAAGCTACTCTTAAAGAACAATTCTTGAATGTTTCACTAGCTAAAGTCAAAGAACCCATACAAAGTCTCTGAAAAAAAATAAATGGGAGCTCCCAGTCTTACTTTCAAAGACCTTAATTAAATAATTTTAAGGAAAAATATTGACATTTTATTTTCTATTTAATGCTAATACTAGCCTTATGAAAAGATGAGATTAAATGTAACACTGCATAGAAAATGTAAAAATAGAGTTTTAAATGAAAAGAAATGGGTTTTATTTTGCTTTTTACATTTCGTACTTTTCAGAAGATATATTAGTCAACATTATACTTTTGGTCTTAGTTATCTGGTGAATATTCTGTAGAGTAGTTTTAGACCTCCTAACCAATATACCATATATGGAAATTTCCATTAGGAAAAATATGATTTGATATTAGCTCCTTTAAGAGATTTAACCTGATACAAGACAACTTTGCCTGCTTAATAATTATATGAAATTATTCACATATCATAATTTTGTTAAAATAATAAAAATATGCTAGAATTTTGTTGTCAGTGTACTACTAATCTATGTCCCTTCCCTTACCCCAATATTGATACACTTACTTCACTGATCTATCTCAATGTTCTTTAAGAGTTTGGCACAGAGCAGGTAATTGATAATTACTTGTTAAATGAGGAAATGAGTCAGAGCAGTACCAATAAGCTTTCCACATTTTTTATTAAGCAGCTCTTTCCATCTCAGGATAGTGCATAACTTTAATATGAGTTCATGTTGATCAACTTGAACCTTCACAGAGACAGGCCCTTCAAAAATACAAAAGTCTCCTTTTGCCAGGAGACTAAGAGTATTTTTTAAAAGCCAAGTTATTTACTTTTCCACATATTACTTGAGGTCCACTCTATGTGAAGAACTTACAGATTACTTTCAAGTGTTATTTCTTTATTTAAAGCTTTGTAATGAGGCTTTGTTCCCGAAGGAAAGAAAGGAAAGAGGGAGGGAGGGAGGTGGAGGTAGGGGGAGAGAGAGAGAGACAGAGAGAGAGAGAAGAAGGGAGAGAGAGAGAGAGAGAGAGAGTGAGAGAGAGAGAGAGAGATCTGTTGTGAAAGGAAGCAAAACAGATTGAGAGAGAGAGAGAGAGAGAGAAAGAGAGAGAGAGAGAGAGAGAGATTGAGAG